CAGGCACAAGCCCTGCCGTTTCTACATCAACCGATTCTTCCCGGCCCAATTCTTTCCGTTACCACAGGGTTATGCCGCCTCTCCCTTGGATGAACATTCCATCCCAGTGATATCCCACGCAACCGCACGACTCTGGTCGGTTTGCTGCTTCGGTTAGGGAGGCAGGTATGCGGCCAATTGAAGTAGAGTCTCTTCCATCTCCATTGGTTATCGCATTCTTTTCCTCAAATCGGCACCCGTGATGTCAAGCAATTTAGCATCGTCCCGACGCACACAGACGGATTTGCCAGACCAAACATCCAATCCACTGCGCCATGGATCAACCGCTTCCACGAGCTCGTCGATATACACCGTCTCATCAAGTTCGTTTGCTCCCAGTCGCACGAGCACCGTCTCCTCCACCGCGTCATCTGGGTCCGTACCCGGCCATAGACGGGGCAAGAGTGAGGTAAACACACCGATTTCCGAAGCAATGGCTGGAGGCGCTTCCGATGGGAAAAGCTGGGCCAATGCGGGCGCGACCTATGAGAACATCCGCCGCTCATTGCGACCACTTTCCCAAGCCCCCAACTCGTCTCCCGTAGCTGCCAAGCAAGCAGCTTTTCGTCATTCTCGCAGCCAGACTGTCGACAATCCTCAGTATTGGAAGGAAAATCGCCCGCAGACCCCCGAATCCCGTCCTGCGCACCCTCAGGATGTTGATACATTGAAGGAGAAGCCCTCATACATCGATCAAAGTCCCACGAAAACCAGTTCGCCGCATGCTGTCTCACCCCATACCAAGACACAAGTAAAAGCGCACCATGCACATAGTTTGTCCAACCCACCACCGTTCACTCATACCCTGTCAGCCCCCGAGCTAGAGACGTTCCAAAAATCGTCAACCGGCCACCTGCGGACCCTCTCAAAGTTTGCGAAATCGGGTGAGACCGAAGAGTTTGCTCTTGACAGCTATGGGGCATCTGTGGTGGGATTACAGGGACGACGACGCCTAAAGCGAGCTGATACGGTGACCGGAAACAATAGCCCCATAGCACGGAAGAAACCGGCGGCATCAGCATGGACGGCTGGGAGCTGGATGGACAAGCAACGTCAGTTCCTCCAGGCGTACGAGTACCTCTGCCATATTGGAGAAGCCAAAGAATGGATCGAAGAGGTTATTCAGAAACAAATCCCCCCAATTGTCCAGTTGGAAGAAGGCCTGCGTGACGGAGTTACGCTGGCGGAGGTGGTACAAGCCATGTACCCAAACCGAACCTTTCGAATCTTCAGACACCCACGACTTCAGTACCGTCACTCTGACAACATCGCACTTTTCTTCCGATTCCTAGATGAGGTCGAGTTGCCAGAGCTATTTAGATTTGAGCTTATCGATCTTTACGAAAAGAAGAACCTCCCGAAGGTTATCCACTGCGTACACGCCTTGTCATGGCTGATGTTCAAGAAAGGTCTCGTCGATTTCCGCATGGGAAATCTGGTGGGTCAATTGGAATTCGAACATCATGAGCTCGAGCAAACACAGAAAGGTCTCGATAAGGCCGGCGTCAGCATGCCTAGTTTTTCGGGAATGGCTGCCAACTTTGGAGCGGAACCAGAGCCAGAACCGGAGCCCGAGCCGGAATCGGAGGAAGATCGCATTCACCGTGAACTACATGAAAGTGAAGCCTCGATTGTTGATTTCCAAGCTCAGCTTAAGGGCGCGATGCTGCGACTGAAGCTTGGAAACTTGATGAACGATCTATGGGATTTTGAACCCTTTTTGGTAGAACTGCAGTCAAGGATACGTGGAGACTGGGCTCGACAAATCGTCCAATATCGACTGGATATGCGAAAATTCGCCGTTCATTTGCAAGCGATCTGTCGAGCTTTTCTGGTCCGACAGCGGCAGAGAGGTGATAGGGAAAATTACCAGGCCCAGGAAATCGATGTACTGCGGCTGCAGACTCTGATCCGGGGAGCTAAAGCAAGAGCTCAAGTAGACCGTGTTCGAACTTGTATGCGGAAAGAGGAATCGGGTATCAAAATGATACAAGCAGCACTACGAGGTGCATTGCAACGGCAGAAAGTGTACGATCTTTACGAAGGCACAAGAGGTGCGGAGAAGGATGTTCTATTGTTGCAGGCCGCTATTCGGGGTGCTCTGCAGCGCAAGCAACTCGCAACGCAATACGAAGAAACTCACTCGGCTGAGACAGATGTGACTGAGCTCCAAGCTCTTATCCGAGGTGCTCTCCAACGCAGTCAGCTGGCAAAGCAATACGATGCAGTACAGTCTACAGAACCAGACGTTGTCGAGCTCCAAGCCCATATCCGTGGAGTCCTTCAGCGAAGTCGGCTTGCAAAACAACATGAAACAACACAAGCTACAGAGGCAGATGTGACTGTGCTTCAAGCTCTCATCAGGGGTGCCTCTGTCCGTCAGCAGATGAGCACACAGAACGAGGCCATGAATGCGACGACAGCAAGCACAGCGTCTCTGCAAGGACTCATTCGAGGAATGCTGACCCGGAAAGGTATTGAAGAGACAAAATCCTTGCTCTCGCAGGAAGTTCCTTCCATTACCTCCATTCAAGCAGGTGCGCGGGCTCTTGCAGCCAGAAAATTCCTATCACAGCAAGCAGAAGCCCTTTCAAAGACAGCAAACGAGTGCGCCTCTCTTCAGTCGATTGTTCGAGGTAACGCTCTTCGAGCCGAGCTTGACCGTCTCCGACAAGACCTGAACGAGCATGTGCCATCCGTAATTGACGTTCAGAGCATCTCTCGGGCGAATGCCGTACGATCCTTCCTGAATTCTCAACGCGAGTCTCTCAAAGGAGAGGAGACATCCATTTTGGCTCTGCAGTCCATGGCTCGAGCCGTCATACTCAGGAAACGACTGGAAGCAGACGCACAAGCTCTACAGCAGGAGGAACCGGTCATAACCAATCTTCAAGCTCTTATCCGCGCGGCAATTCTCCGCATCGACGTGGGCGGCATCTTGGAGGAGCTCGATGATTGCGAGTATGAAATTAGCCACTTCCAAGCACAGATAAGAGCCATGCTTGTTCGGGTTGACGTTGGCCAGACTCTTGCAGATCTGGCAGCTGCCGAAGATGTCGTTATGGACCTTCAGTCACACATCCGTGGACATCTTGTTCGTTCCAGATTCGAAGAGAAACGCCGCCATTACCGTGAAAACATGGACAAGGTAATCAAAGCACAAAGCTACATACGCGGTCGAATCCAGGGTCAAGCCTACAAGAGCCTTACAAGCGGAAAGAACCCGCCTGTGGGGACTGTCAAGGGCTTTGTGCACCTGCTGAACGATAGCGAGTTTGATTTCGACGAAGAAATCGAGTTCGAGAGGACGCGGAAATTGGTTGTCCAACAGGTTCGACAGAACGAAATGGCAGAACAATACATCGGCCAGCTCGATATCAAGATTGCGCTGCTCGTCAGGAATAAGATCACGCTTGATGAAGTCGTTAAACATCAAAAACATTTTGGTGGCCACGTTGGAAGCCTTCTGCCCAACCGGGAGATTTCTTCCAAAGATCCTTTTGACCTCAAGGCTCTGAATAAGACTTCGAGACGAAAGCTAGAGCAGTACCAGGTTTTATTCTTCCTTCTTCAAACCCAGTCACAATATTTGGCGCGGCTGTTCCGAAGGCTGCGTGAGCTCAACACGCCCGAGAAGGAGTATGATCGGATAAGGCATCTGATGATGGGTCTCTTTGGATACTCGCAAAAGAGACGTGAAGAGTACTACCTCATCAAGCTGCTTGCCCGCTCCGCCAGAGAAGAAATCGAAAGCTTCGACTCGCTCCATGAATATTTGCGTTGCAATTCTTTCTGGAATAAACTCTTCGCATCCTATATTAAATCCCCACGGGACCGAAAGTTTATGCGTGATATACTTGGAACCGTCGTGAGGGAGAACGTGGTCGAGAACCCAGAACTGGACTTGGAGAGTGATCCCATACAGATCTATCGCTCGGCCATCAACAACGAAGAGCTCCGGACTGGCAAGCGAAGCCGACGCCGACTGGACATCCTAAGGGAGGAGGCGATTAGAGACCCAGAAACAAGAGCTACATTTATCCAGCACCTTCAAGACCTTCGCGATATCGCTGATCAGTTTTTTTCTGCCTTTGAGGAGCTATTGTACAGGATGCCCTTTGGTATTCGTTACATCGCAAAACAGATGTACGAGAGCCTTCTTGCTCGATTTCCCCAGGAGAATCCTGGATTCATCCTCCAGACAGCGGGTCATTGGGTGTGGAGAAACTACTTCCATCCTGCAATGGTCGAACCCGAGAAGTATGGTGTGATAGATCGGGGCTTGACACAAGAGCAAAAGCGCAATCTTTCAGAAATCTCGAAGGTGATCGCGCAGGTAGCATCCGGCCGGCTTTTCGGCGCAGAGAATGTCTATCTCCAGCCACTAAATAGCTACATCGGAGATTCTATCCAGCGGCTTGGCCAGATATGGGGTGACAGTGAGTATTACCATGGCCTACAACCTCAGGGGTGGTGCTGACTTTCATGTAGTGGTCTCTGTTCAGGACGCTGAAACGTATTTCGACATCGACGAATTCAACGACCTCTATGCTAAGACAAAGCCTACTTTGTATATCAAAATGTCTGATATCTTCTCTATCCATCAGCTTATCGCCAGCGAAGTCCATTACATCTGCCAGAATCCCGATGATATTCTGAAGGAGGTCATTCGTGACCTGGGTAACGTCAAGTCTAACGAGAGTGAACTGATGAGCGTCAACTCCTCTGAGATCAACCTCACCTTGAACCCCAAGCTGGCACAAGTTGAAGGTAAGCCCGAGCACACTCTCCTCTTACTAATATGCCCTGGAGACTGACAGTTGGAATTAGACCCGGAAGCGGATGTGAAGGCTCTGTTCATGGAAACCAAGCGATGCATACTCTACATTATTCGGGTCCAAACAGGCGCTAACCTGATGGATATCATGGTTAAGCCACCCACCGAAGAGGACGAAGCCAAATGGATGACGTTGGTTCGCGACGAGTTGAGTGCGAACAACACACGACGAAGCCCCTACTCGGAGGCCACCACCATGGTAGACCTTGCCTCTATGAGTTACACCGAGTTGAAGCAAACGGCGCTGGAAAACATTCTCCAACTCGAGCAAACTGGTAAAATCCGGCGCGATAATTACTATCAGGATTTGTTGAATGCGATCGCCATCGATATCCGCACAAAGCATCGCCGGAGAATCCAGCGGGAGCGGGAATTGGACAGCGCTCGCATGACGCTTGCTCGTCTCAACGACCAAGCTATCTGGCTGGATCAACAACTCAAGACCTACAACGACTACATCGAGCAAGCCATGGTGACCTTGCAGAATAAGAAGGGAAAGAAGCGGTTCCTTATGCCGTTCACCAAGCAGTGGGATCACCAACGAGAACTACAGAAGTCCGGCAAGGTATTCAAATTTGGCTCCTACAAGTATTCAGCCCGCAATCTGGCGGACAGGGGAGTCCTCGTGCACTGGAAGGGATACACTGAACGACAGTGGGACCGGGTCGACCTTACCATCTCGAGTAACGAAGTCGGAGTTTTCACCATTGATGGAAGCAGTGGACCGATGATGATCCCGGGTGCCAACGCGCAGGTTCCGTTGGACGACCTACTGCAAGCCCAGTTCAACAACATGCAGTTCCTGGACTTCTTCGATGGGCACTTACGAGTCAACGTCAATCTTTTCTTGCACCTGATAATGAGAAAGTTCTATAATGAGTGATGGAGCGGTTTGATGCTGGATCATGATATTCTTCCGTCTATTACGTTTCACGTGTTCATGTTTCATTTTGTTTATGCTTTTGTTGTCTGCATTTCTTTGAGATATCCCTTCCTCTTGCTATCATGTTGACGATGAAAAAGAGCTCATCCCGAAAGGTGCCTCGAGCGGGCATGGTGGAGATGAACCTTCGAATTCTTTATACCTACCGAATATGTTTTTTTTTTGTATCCCCCCCCGGTTTGCTTTGCAAAGTGTCTACGGATGCTTGAGCGCAACCGCCCGCATGTTATGTATGTATGGCCTATGCCTGCCTCGACGATGATTGAATGAATACCATATGTGTACGTATCCGTTAGAAGTACCTGGTGAGATATCATAGAGCTCTTGTAATTGCGCACCATGCTTGTAGCTAGTAACCAGAGAGGATAATAGCCATTATTTTGTCATGATTGAATGCCATCTTTGTGAATAAGTTGTTCAATTGAAGGAGGCCGAGCCATGGACGGGTCAGGGGTCGCCACGTGACGGCTTGGGGCCCAACGGCGATCGATGCCAGCTGGAGGCGATAGCATCTCAACTTCCGCCTCTTCGTCCACTGCTGCTTGCCTACCTGTCCTTGTTCCCGCAGGTCTTTCCTGTTACGGTTTCAATTGATTCTGCGTTAGATTCTCCATCTGTGCTGTGTGCGCCATGGATTTCTCCAACCTCAAAGAACAGGTCAGCAACCTGACCTTGTATGATCTCAAGGCGGGAGTCCGCAAGGTCCAGAATGGTACGTCCCCGCGGTGACCCCAGAACGCTATTCCGTCATCCTGGATGGCCTCGGGTCTTGCTCCCCTGATCTAGGCGATTCACTGACTCCTATAGCGGTCATGAACTATACCGAGATGGAGGCCAAGGTCCGTTCCTACTCTCCCGCCAGTTCCGTGCCGCCACGAGTCCCGGGCCTCCGCACCCCGTGTGGTCGTATCCCTTGAAGCACAACACTCACGTTGGACAGGTCCGAGAAGCTACAAACAATGAACCTTGGGGTGCCTCGAACACACTCATGCATGAGATCGCCAGTGGAACCCATAGCTAGTCAGTCTTCCCGCCCCCGTCGCATGGGCTAGCGAGGTTTCCCCTGGAGTACTAATGAGGTGTCGCAACATGCAGTCAATTGCTTAACGAGATCATGCCTATGATTTACAAGCGCTTCACAGACAAGACCTCGGAGGAATGGCGGCAGATCTACAAGGTGAGTTTCCATCATCTCCGCGACACACATGTGGACCACAGCTTACGATGCGCAACAGGCGCTCCAACTTCTAGAGTTCCTTGTCAAGAACGGATCCGAACGAGTTGTCGACGACGCCCGCTCTCACATGTCTTTGATTCGGATGCTCCGCCAATTCCACTACATCGACCAGAACGGAAAAGACCAGGGTATCAACGTGCGCAACAGGTCATCGGAGTTGGTTAAGCTGCTCGGTGACGTCGACTTGATCCGCTCGGAGAGGAAGAAGGCCAGGGCCAACCGCAACAAGTTCGGTGGATTCGAGGGTGGCTCGCACATTGGCGGTGGCATGTCCAGCTCCAGCTCCGGCAGGTATGGTGGCTTTGGCAGTGACAGCCTCTCGTTTGGCGGGTACAGTGGAGGTGTCTACGGTGACGGTGGTGGATTCGGAGGCAACACAGGCGATTTCGGGGACTCCGGGAGACGTTCCAATCGCTTCGAGGAATATGACGAGTATGACGAGGGTGATGCTAGTCCCCCGCGCCGGCGCGGGCCCAGTCCTCCCCGTGCTAGTGCTACTCGTCAGGCTAAGCAGCCGGCCGCTCCTGCTCCTAAGGCTCCCGAGCAAGACTTGTTCGACTTCGGAGAGGAGGAGACTGTCACGACTTCTGTCAGCGCCTCCAAGAAGCCTGTCACAGGCAATGGCAGCAGCGGGCTAGATATTCTCGACACCCAGCCTGCTGACGACGACGACTTCGACGATTTCCAATCCGCCACCCCAGCGCCTGCGCCGGCATCGTCAGCCCAGTTCGCCATCCCCCCGCCGGCTTCCACTGTCAGCACGACCTCCAGCACGCAGTTCGCTGCCCCCAAGCCAGTCTCGGCCACGCAGGGTTCGAACCTGAACGGCATTGTAGGCTTCACTTCGATGACCCCTACCCCGACCTCTAGCACGATGGCGTCTCCTACACTCTCGCAGAGCTCCCTGGCACAGGCCCAAAAGCCCGCGCAACCCAAGCCCAGTGGCTTCCAGGCCGCCACTCCCAACTACTTCACCTCCGTTTCTACCCTCTCCAATACGACTCAGCAACCTGCTATGGGCCACCGCCCCAACATGCCCTCCACTTCCTCTTTCAGTTCCACCACGCCCTCTACCCCCTCTGCAGCCAGTAAGCCCGCTGCCACCAAGGCGTCCGGTGACGTCTTCGGATCCCTCTGGTCCAGCGCGAGCGCCAGCGCCGGTATTCAGAAGAATAACACGGGCGGAAACAAGGGTCCTAACCTAGCCAGCATGGCCAAGCAAAAGGCCAGCGCCGGCATCTGGGGTGCCCCCGCTGCTTCGAGCAGTCCTGCATTCAACCAGAGCAGCAACAGCGGGACGTCGAAGACAACGGGAAGCTCTGGACTAGACGACCTGTTGGGCTAGATCCGTGACTATCTTAGCTCGACTTCTTACATCATTGCCTTCTTCCTTTACCCCGCTTAGCTAACTTGTTCTCTTTTCCTTTTGGCACTGTTTGAATGACTCTGTGTGTGTCTATACCGTAGTACGAATATTTCTTCTCTTCATTCCTTTTATCTTGTTGCTTGCGTGCAAGATCTAAAATAGCAGGCCTACCCTAACTCACTTTTCCTCTTCTTCTCATCTATTCCACTATCTACCCATTGCCTCTAGCCGGTTGTTCGCATGACTACTCCCAGATATATCCTCCGTTCTCCCGTGGCATGATAGCTCGGCTTCCCTATTCCCTGGTTTGATACGGTATGCTACGGTATGCTTGGTATTTTGAAGGAATCTTCGAGCCTGCCTTTCGTTCTAATTGTTTCTTGATCCAAAAGCAGAAAAAGTTCTATAGGATGCAATCTAATTAGATTTGACTTAGCCAACTAAATGCATGCCGATGTCCTAGTAACTACCCTCAACCTAGATATATTCCCATGAACACTAGTAACAGTACTATTACCCCAACTTCAACTCATCAATCAGTCCTCCCTATCTACCCTGCTTCGCAGTAAGTAGTAACTCAGGATGCACCTCCTCATCATACCCATCCCCAACCCCCCTCACCACCGCCGGCCTCTCCCCAATCCGCTCAATCCACTTCCTCAGCAGCGGAAACCCATCCATCTCCTCCTCCGTGATCGTCATTCTCTTCCACGCCCGCACCCACGCATACGCATTAATATCCGCGATGCTGTATTTCCCTCGTCCCTCGCCCACCAAGTACTCCCTAGTCTCATCACCACCACCACCACCACCACCACCACCACCAGCCAAACCATTGGACAAATGCAATTCCAGCACGCTGTAAATCCGAAGCGTCTCAGCCTTAAATCTCTCAACAGCGTCTATTCCCCAAAAGCAATAAGTAAATTAGATATCTCCTATAGAACCACAAGAACTGAAATAGGGTGTGTGTGCTTACAAGGAACCTCCACCGCCGCGAACCGAGCAAAATGATTCAACCCCGCCTGCTGCGGCTGACCCGACGCAGACCAGAAGATCAACCACTGGAGGAGCTGGGATCGGTGGATTGCCGACGAGAAGTGGAAATGGTGATCCGGGTCGTAAGTTTCTACGAGGTAGAGGAGTTCGGCGGCTGATTCCATGACTGGGATTGGGTCTGAGTTGCTGGATGAGTTGTTGTCGATGAGGAGGGGGATTTTTCCTGTATGGGTTTGTTTGTTCAGTATTTATCTACATACTTGTTCTAGGTAGGTCACAAGGAAAAAAGAAAGAAGAGGGGATGAATTATGGCTTACCGTTGGGATTAAACGCCAGAAACCATGGCTGCTTCTGCTCGTCGGTGTCGAGGTCGATTAGGGATGTTGTCCATCGTAATCCGTAGATGTCTTTGAGTTCTTCGAGGAGGATTTGGACTTTTTTGCCGTTGGGGGTGGAGGTTGTTAGGAGGTGGAGGCCCTATTATTATTATTATTATTATTATTATTATTATTATCCTTAGTATGAGAATACTCAGTATAGTATAGGGAAAGACAATGATGGTGGGTTTGGGTTTGGGTTTTACTTTTGTGTCTTTGATTCTTGATGGGGTTGTTTCTGTGAATAGGCTTGCCATTATGGGGGTAGTGCTGTATATGGAATCAGATGTCAGTTTGCTGTTCGTTTGGACAGTCGATAGTAACATTATTTATTTATATGCGTGAATCTCACCAAAGCATGATGGCATCATCCAATCCTTGTCCGACGGATGTCCGGTTTGGTTTCTAGTAAGCGTCTTAACGTGTGTCTCGGCAGTTTAGGCATCAGCTACTAGCAGGATGAGCCCAGTTCGAACTAGTAGATTGTGGCTCAGAGACTCGACTCTGTCATAGTAGTATAATTTTGGCATATGTAACTGATTAGTTACTTAGTGGGATTTGAAAGTGGCCTTGGTGTGTGCTATGCAGTATATTCTCTCTTTTGGTTCATCGACTAGTTACTTACTATTGGCCATATTTGTGGGAGTGGGAGGGAGAGAGGGAGAATACTGCTATTAGATGCCGTGATTAGCAGATTCATATTGAAGATGTTCTAATGTCACTAGTATTTAGATGAGGTTGACAGTGGAAATACCGCATAGTATACTGCAAGTTACTTAGATATCTGCCGACAGAGGTACAAAGGACATGAATAGTAAGATGGTATGCGTTGCTCATAAATCACAATAAATATAGATAAAAACATAACTAACCGCTGTTGGAGGTATATGAATACTTCGATCACACGCTGTATGCTAGGGAATGCTTTTGTTTTCACAGAAAAGCAAGCAAGCCAGCCTACAACCATAATCTAATGCATTGACGCCATCGCTCAAGTACAGAAACATATATACAGGCACGTTTGCCCACACCTTTGCCACATTTGAAACAGTCACTCAACTCATACTCTCACTTTCACAATCTCTCCTCGTCTCTGCTCTTTCTCTCCCTCTTCAGCTATCTCTTCCTCTCGTCATGAAATGATCATATCATGCATGCATGCATTCACAAACAGCCGTCCCGTTCAAATGGTGGTATTCCAACAATAGCAGTTCCAGCCGGGGAACAACAAGAACAGTAAGGAAATGTTTAAAATGGGAAAAGAAGAAAGAAAATAGAAAATGATGCAATCATGTTCAGGTCGAGGATCAAACCGGCCTTCAGGAGAGTAACAGGGCCCAGCAGCTATTATACTGGGTCACCGATCTCATCAGAAGCTGAGATAATATGTACCCCCTTAACAGGAATAATGGCTCCCGTTATTGCAGGAGTGTGAAACTAGGCCACCTTCTTTTCAGGAAGGTCTTGCGGGGCTTCAAGCCCCTGATCTTCTGCCGGGAAATGTGACATGTTCGAATCCGTCTTGCCACCGCTAGACAGATGGGAAGACTTCCTCTTCTCCCCGTTGGAGACATGCTCGACGCTAACGTAGGTCGATTCTAGTGGGAGCTGTTCGTCTTGCGTGGGTGTAATAGCTTGCTGGGAGTCTGTCGACTCCGGGCTCAGGTACGTATTGTTCTCTTCGTCCGCATCAGGCTCGCCGTTCAACGACGTCAGCCCTCCCTCGATATCTCGAAGCAGACGCACAAACTCCTCTGGTACCAGCCCGCTCTCCCCAGTCTTGGGATCCTCCGCAACAAGCCAGCCCTGACCGTGCCGGTATGAGACGAAGATAACCTGTCCTTCAGTAAGAGGCAGCTCGTTCTCATGCTCTCTTGTGAAATCGAACAGCGCAACCGCTTTTCCGTGCATCTCCTCATCAGGGCATCCCACAGCAAACTGGAAGTCACGCGAGTACCGATGATCCCCAGCATAGTCGTCTTCAGAATCAAAGTCCGCATCATGTCCATAGGCTTGATAGTCGCCATATGAGCCCACGTGAGAATACCGGCTTTCGTTCGCCGGATAGGTGACATACTCGCCGCCCGGTCCATCCTCCAAAGCGTCGTCATCGTTTACATAGTACGTCTCACTGCCGTCCGCGTTCATACTGACAAGCGTACCCCGATCGGTATCCGCCTCATAGCTCATGCCTTGATGCTCACGGCCACCAGGGCCCCTGGCTTTCCGTCCATTAAGGTCCGTTCCGGTGGACTTGTTTTTCCGGTGACGGGGGGCGGAAAAGACTGGGCTGTGCAAGTCTTCATCCTCGCTATACGGCGGTCCATCGCCAAAGGACATGGCGGGAAGTTGCTGATGCCCATAGCTATGGTCGGTAGTCCACGGTCCCACGGACCATTGGCCACGAGAACTGTCCCATGGGGCCGGAGGATCGGACAGGCGCCGTTGCTCACTTGCCGGGGTGGATACTACCGATGCACGAGGCGGCAATGGGCCGTAGTGAAGAGGATGGATAGGAGGATACGCAAAGTCGCGAACCAGCGCATACGGTAAGCTGGAATGAAAGACAGGAAAGACGTGGGATCCCGGCCGCGACCGATTCTGAGAAGCTAAGGAAACATTAGAGTGCGTTGAGAGACGATCCTTCGCGTACGAGGAGGATCGCTGACGGCCCTGCCGCTTAACTGGGGAGCCTGTGATTATAGGAGGCAAAACCGTTAGGTTTGAGGAAGCCGTTGGCTGCGATGAGGGGGCCGAGGTTGTGGAAGCCATGATGATGGTCATGAGTCCTCAAAGGCAATGATCAGAGCGGAAGGGGAAAAAATGATTACGTGTCGAAGATGTCGTGTGAGGTAATGCCGGGTCGGATGTTGTCTCTTGAGAAGGGGATAGAAAAGCTGGAGCACCGGTCCGCCCTAGTTTCGCATCGCGATCGTTCTTCCACGAAACTCTACTGCCAGATCCCGCCCGAAGGTTATTTCAAGGAAAAGCTCGCACCAAGGATATGTATGCGAAAGCATGCGACTCAAATCGGAGGGATGTCTTGTGAGCTCCTTGCGTGCAAGCACGATGCAGATCTGGGTCTGGGAGGACGCTGCGCGCCGAATCAAATCTGATTCAACCGAGGAGGGCACTAGACGACCGGCGACGAGTTAATGGACTGCGGCTAGACGCCAAAGAAGCGAGGTGACCGCAATGGGATGTCTGACAGGCCCGGGTATAATCGACAGCGAACGGACAGGTACAGCGCGGCTATCGACCTCAAGAGCAAGCACCGCGGGGATCTCCAGTTACGGGCAGCTGTTCCCCTCTCTCTTTCTCAGGCCAAGAAATATTAAACACAACGACGTTGACTGCACCGACCAGGCGGCTGCAGGGGTGGCAGACAAGATTTGATGAGCGACAGCCAATGCCCGGTGGAGGGAAGGTTTGCAGCGAAGCAGGTGGGAGAAAAATAAGAGGAGGTTTGTTTCGAGAGCGTTTTGGTCCCGCGCTTGGGAGTTCGGATGGTCGAAGGCAAAACTGGGGATGCTAAATTTAGCAACGAGGGCAGGGCCAAAAAAGCGCCACTCTGAGAGACGGCGACTACCGAACCCAATGACAGACGGGGGAGGCAGAAAGAGGGGAGGCAGGGAAGGGAGGAAATTGATTGATTGATTGATTGATTGAGGGGTGGAAATGAGAAAGAGGGGATGAGCGCCAGGAGAGGAGGACAAGACACTCAGCTGCAGGAAGCAGGAGAAAGATGACACACAGGATAAGGGACGGTGGAGCGAGAAAGGAAGAGAGAAAGAGAGCGAGCGAGAATGAATGGTAGGGGCGAGGGTGCGACAAGAGGCTTGCCAGTGCCGGAGATTACTGCTAACTTACCTGCCGTGAAGGCTCCGACTGAAGCGTTAAGGATCAACGAGGCGCAGTCACCGATGCGGTGGAGTTCAGGATTCAGAAACCCGCTGGCATGCAGGGTCGCTGTCTTTCAAGACCGAACAGTCAGGCAATTGAGCGATTCTTCAGGCGGAAAAAGGGAGGGGAGAAGAAGCAGTCGATCGGGGTGAATAGTCCGGGGTCTTTCCTGACTCTAAACCGACCTCTTCCACTCCTTCGAGCTCGTTCTTCTTTTTTGTCTGGAAGTTTGAAGATTCGCCCTCTCCACGTGACCGCCCACGCGTGGCTTAGCGTGTTTCAGGTGTGGATGCCTCGGGCCATCGCCGAACGGGCCACTTTCTGCCTCAGAAGTCAGGCATTAAAATGCGCTTGCTTGGTTTCTCCACATGCCTTTCTGCCTTGCATGGCTCATACTAGCTAGCTACTACTACTCACCCACCACGCCCCAGCCACTAGACTAGAGCCAGCCACTCTTGTTCTATTTATTTCTTCCGGATATAGGATGATATCCACTGCTCGTGGCTTTGCACTGGATTTCGTTCTTATCGATTTCAAGATATTTCCCAACCCAATCTACACAATGTCTTACACTAGGAAAAGCAAAGGGATGAAGTCTAGCGATTCAATTGTCTATTGATCAGAAGGGCTCTAGTCAAACGAAGGTTAAAAGAGTGACTGTCATCAATCCCGGCTAGGCCAGCCTAGCTCGAGCGGCAGAAGAGAATGTAAAAGTTCACCCAATACCTTCGGAGGGTATACAATGCATTCCCGATCCCCCAGCTATTGTGAACGCAAGGGATCCACATCAAAAGCAAGGTCGTTTCGATCAAGTGCTCCCAGCCAGGGTATCACTGCTAGGCACAGGTATATGTGTCGTGATGACTGTCGTCAATGTGAGGACTCTAAAGGGCGCCACTGAGGTTGGTGCTGGCGTCGGAGCCGGCGTCGACGAATATGGCACAGAACTGCTTCCAGCCTCCTTACTATCGGTGCTAGATCCCATAACCTCGGCAAACTCAGATGGGATGGCTGCACTATCAAGGGACTGGCCCTCCACATATCCCTCCTGGACGTGCGTATGAGTTGTAGGGCTATCGACCACATCCACATCAATGCAAGTAGTATAGATTTCCTGCTTGCCGTTGGGGAGTGACGGGTCCACGCCAGGAGCTGTTGGCCAATTCCAGACCCAGTAGAGTGTATACGGCTTGCCTGAAGGTGCATTGGACGGAAGCGCGATATCCTGTTGGCACCACAAATCTGCGCCCATCAATTGGTTCGCCACGTGGGGGTACACAGCTTGACGATGTTCGGAGATATTACCATTGTTGATTTGATAGCAGCGGCCGTCATCAAAGTTTTGCTTCGACAAGAGAACGCCGCGTCGATCCCCTCCCGTACCGTCGCGATTCCAGGAATTGAAGACGTCCAAGAAGTTTTCTTCCTCCTTCGGCTCGGTGGTTCCGTAAACGTATATCGTTCCTCTATTCTTCGGCTTTCCCGGTTGATTCCAAGGTAGAGTCACATGGCCGTTTTCTTGGTAGCGAAGAGCGATGGGAGAGCCGGCGGCTGCCTGCAGCCTGGGGCTACCCTCGGTTTGGTTTCGTGTTCGCTGCGTGCTTTTGCACATCTTGTCGGTGGGAAGAATTAGACTCTGGTTGGCTCGATCATTCGGTGGAATAAGGTAAGTCATGGTCGGGTCGCTGAAGCCGGGAGTAGTGCGATGAACATTGCCTCTGGCGTAGCCTGGAGATCCGACGAAAGTTCCATTCGCTGCGATAGCAAGCAGTTGTTCGATCCATGAATGTGCGTTTGCCGTCGAGAAGAGGAGGACCAGCAAGAAAAACCTCAGAGCGCTGCTGCGAGGCTGGTTTATAGGCACCATCCTATATAGCCACTGTATGTTTTCTTTGAATCACAGTTCAAGATACACAGTATCTTTACTCGGATAGTACACCAGCCAGTGGTGTCACTAAAGGTAGCAGTCTGTTTATAGTAATTAGTATTTAGAAGAACGTTGACCGGTGCAATACATTTTGAGTGAGCAAGGGTACGCACATACTATATACTCATGGCCCGAAACACCACTAGGCTCTCCTATTCGAGACTCGGTGTTATGGAAATACTTTAATAGGCGAAAAAACAACAATAGAAGGGACAAAGAAGATTTTGGAAAACAAAGCGATTGTCTGGTCACAGAAAATAGTAGAATCAGCAAGTTGACAATAGGACGAACCCACAATAAGTATTCATCTGAATGTTCCGCTCTCCATCTTTATCTTCTTCTCTAGAGCCCGTGTTTGCTAGCAGCCTGAAAGAAAAGATATGGGGATCGACCACAATGCCCAATGTGATCAGGTCATTTGAAACACGCCCATCCCAGCAAGTGAATAAAACCAGCGTCAAGAGAGGGCATTCTTTGCAGGCGCTAAGGATGATGCCAGAAATGATCGGAACTCATCGTAACGGTCTATTCAGAGCCAATCGATCGCAATGCTCGTCCTACCAAGCTTTTCTCGTTCCCGATATGTCGCAGATAAAGGGCCTGGAGTTATTAGTAGTAGCTGCTGGATTGAGCCGTATGAAGGAGCTGATTGAGTCAAACGTGCATAGCAAGCTACCCTGGGCATCAAAATCTGAAATTAGCAACAGCGCCTAATCTGGTTGGAAGCAAGATCTCATGACAGAAAGCGTCATTACAGGCGATCTCCCGTGTTGCAGAAGTGAGGACGTTGAAGACCATGGAGGCCGCTGATTGGCTTGGGTTTCCTCAAGAGCGCTCCGTCGTGCAGAACCAATACAGGTGATACATGAAATAAATGTGTGTTTGATATTGCTCTATGACTTGCATCAAGGCTTCAGAATTCTCTGTCGCCTACCGCGCAGACATCTACTGACATTGGGTGTAGAGGCGCCGCGATGGGGATCGATGAAACACGGGCGCCCCGCTTTCTCTAGCCTGAGCAAACAAAGCGCGCTGACAAGACTGAATTCCCAGGCAAGCTAGATAGGTGTAGTCAGTACTACATCTGATGGTCGTGGAATATGAGAGATGCAACTGAATAGAGCAGAAACTTACAATGTGTCCTGTCATAACTATCAAGCTTTCCGTTAGTCCTTCTAGTGCCTGTCGCATAGCATGCACGAGATGGGTGACAGTTCTTCTCGGGTACCACATCCAAACCACTTTATTCAGTGACACATTCACTAGGGCCACTGCAGCTTCTCAGCGGCCTTGTCCGTTAGGAGACTCAGCCAAAGAAAAGAGCTGAACCTGTCGCACCTGAATGATTCTCCCACGCTCATTTTGCCCTTCCTTGGCGAGTACGCGATCCCCACCGTCCCCATTGCTGAATCAAGTAATATCCAGCGTCTCCGACCGTCGACGGTCCCATCAGTACCAATCATACCCATACTCTGGCAACTCCTGATCCCGCGAGCGTTGGCCGACTACGCAGAAGCCATCGAACAAAATAAGACAGGCAATTCCATGCCGTAATGCGATTTACACATTTGTGGCAGTTCCAAACCTTCGTGTGCTCTCTGTGATATCACTCTGATCGCACTGGGTTGCGTATGCGCTTTGGCCTGCAAGCAAAATCTGGTTTTTCTTTGGGTTTCCGAGATCTGCTGGTGGCTCGGTTAAGATACTGGTTTACAAAGTACGTTCAGTCTTCAAGGGCCAGCTCTTGTCAAGGTTCAGACACCATGGCTTCCACTCATCCGTCGGTATATACACTAATTTCAGAAAGATAAATCGAAGCGAAGCAGCAGCGACCCGGATGGAACCCTTTCGTGGCAGAGATGAAAAGATTGATTAGATGAAAAAAGGTGGGTATCGTGCGTTATCTCCGATGAATCACGACTCTTCAGTGGCCATGGTGTCCTTGTCCCGGTGTCCACCGTCCCACCCAACCCCGAAAGGATGAGGGAATATTCAGGACCTTGGGCTGCACGTTGGAGTCCGATGTGGATGCAGCTTCAACCCAGATGGGCACCGTGATAGAACTGACGATGGTAACTTACTTTTGGTTACCTAACGCGTTCGATATCGTTACGCCTTGCATGTCAAATACGAATTGCGTACAAAGTGAAAGATGTGCCTTCTTTGGAGTCGTGCTGTAGTGAGCTCGACAGTCTCCAGGTGCTGGTTGTTATCTTCTCCTTATTAGGGGGAGGCGTTAATTGATGGTTTCTTTTGCGGTCCGCCTTTATACGAGACAATCTTCTTCACCGAGAAGTGCTAATACGGTTGCATTCTGCTATCGTCTCGGATGTCATGACGATGCTACAAGAAATAGTACATGTTTCGAGACCTTATTAACTGAGCCGGACTTCCTGTAGGTCCCTTGCGTTTGAGCAGGCTGCTGGGCCATTGTTCAGGAAAAGCGGTCAATTGAAGACTTGGATGATACTGCCGAGTAAACCAATCCATGTCAAGCGAGGTTGATAACAGATAAAAGCGTTGTTTTTGTTAGAGCTCTAGCATGTCACCGATAAAAAACTCCGTCGAAATTAGTCCGTGAAATGTCTAGATAGCATTGGACACTAGTCAGGCAGACCCTGTTCCGATGTAGTAGGTGTACCAATCGCGCTGCTTGCCGGGTGACTGAAGTTTCTGTTGCCCGTCTTGGTTTGTCCGCGCTTCAGGGGGTAGTGCCGGGATTTATGCAGATGGTGACACTAGACACCTTTGGAATCCTGTGTACAACGTAATCTACGATCTGGTTCGAGGGGTTCGTGTCACTTGATGGAATCTGAGATGAGGGTGGCGGCGATGTTTTTCATTACGGCTATGATCATCCAGACTTGTATGAAGGTGGTTATTTGGAGTGGTGGATGGGTAGCCTGAGGCTGGCGACCTTCCCGACAAGCGGAGTACGGTAAGGTTGGTAAAAGTACGGATTGGCTGGTAAGAGAATAATACCCACCAAGGCAAAAGAACAATGGTACCGTTTCCAGGCTACTAAAACCATCCCAAGTAATTCCCGTTTGGGCTGGTCCGGTCCTCGCTACCTCGACTCTGCTTCCTATTTGAATTCTTTATTGTCGGCCGCTTCCCCCCTCCTCTCTCTCCACTCATTCCCTTCCTCTTCCTCTTCCTTTTTTTCTCCCATTGTTCCTCTTCCCCCCAAGTCTGATCGGCGGCTTGAAGGGTCGATCCTAGGGCCTGCATAAACCTGCCTTACTTACCAGGATTGTTGGGAACCTGCTACCGACACTACCCACGGACTATCAGCGGACCGCATATCCGCGCTTGCCTTTCATTGGTCGCGCTCTTTGGCGGTCTTGTGGTTCAAGCGGCGAAATTCACGGATTTACGATAATCCCACCGCCTGTGTGCCACGCCGTGGAAGTGCTTCCACATTTCGTTCCTCAGGGGCAGGAATCGACCTGGAAATCCTTAAAGGGGTGTAATCAGTCAGAAGCCGTTGCTGGGAACTTGGCTCCAAGGCATAGCAAGAAGACGTGCGGCATCTTCTCCGCTGCCAGGTAGGTTTCTTCCCGCGCTTCCCTCTTCTTTCGCCTCATCGGCATTCCAACGGTCTGGTGTACTGATCGCACGTTTGCTATCATCCCTGCAGTCCCGATAAGCAACAGCTCGTTTATCGCTTTCGCCTCATGCCATTGACATTGGAGGAGGTACCCATCAGGTTCTGATACCTAGGAGAGTCTTCCCTGTGAAGCGTGGGACGGCGCACGCCAGTCATTTTTTTTCCTCGCAGGGTTTCACCGCGTTCACCCACCGTTCTCCTAGAGCGCTTTCCCCCTCCAAGGCGAGGTCTACACCGCTCCTTTCGCTCCAATTTCTCGTCGGTCGACAACAATCATGGCCGCGACTTTGATCCCAAGGAAGTTCCGGCCTTCGGACGCGGAAGACGATGCTGAGCCTGGATGGCTCAAGCGTCAAGTCACCAGTGGCTTGCAATTCCTCTCTCGCCGTGCCTGTCTTCATCCCATTCACACGATCGTCGTGTTCGCTCTTCTTGCCAGTACTACCTATGTCGGTCTCCTTGAAGGTAGTTTATTCGACTCTTTCAGAAACCCTAGGAATGTTGCTGGCCAAGTGGATGTGGACACCCTTCTTCAGGGTAGTAGAAACCTACGTCTCGGGGAGAGTACTTCCTGGAAGTGGCAGGTGGAAGACACTTTGACTGCCGAGGACTATGATGTAAGTTGGAGACTGGTCTATGAATTCAATGCGTCAGATCATTGTTCGTTCTCTAACAGCCGCCGTTTAATCAGACTGCTCAACATATGGCATTGACGACCTTTATTTTCCCAGATTCCCTGTCGAAGTCAGCTTCCACGGCTCCCCTTGCCGATGGTGTCCCGATTCCTGCCAATACCTCCGCACAACGGGTGCCTCACACGCCGAATCTTTTCTCGCCTTTCTCCCATGACGCGTCTCTCGTCTTCACACTTCCTTTCGAACAGGTTTCTCAATTTCTGAAGGCAGTGCAGGAGATTCCCGAACCTTCTGTTGACGAGGATGAAGGAGAGCAGAAGAAATGGATTATGCGAGCTGCTCGTGGTCCGGCTTACGGATCTAGCGGGGCTCTCAAGCTTTGGCTGACAGACGCATGGGGTTCCTTCGTGGATCTGGTCAAGGTACTCATCCCATTTGGCTCTGTAATTCATATGGCCTAGTTTATGCTAACCCGATGCAGCACGCTGAAACGATCGACATCGTCATCATGACTTTGGGATACCTTTCGATGCATCTCAGCTTTGTCTCGCTCTTCTTCTCGATGCGGCGGTTGGGCTCGAACTTCTGGTTGGCCACCACGGTTCTTTTCTCTGGATGCTTTGCCTTCCTCTTCGGTCTTCTGGTGACCACCAAGCTTGGCGTTCCCATCAACATGCTGCTTCTGTCGGAAGGTCTTCCTTTCCTGGTCGTAACCATTGGGTTCGAGAAGCCGATCATCCTCACCAGAGCTGTCCTGAGCGCTTCAGTTGATAGGCGCCAAGGCTCCCGGGCTGGCAAGACTGGCGGCCAGGCGGCTCCAAGCACTCCCCGCTCCATTCAGGATTCTATCCAGACTGCCATTAAGAAGCAAGGTTTCGAGATCGTTCGGGATTACTGTATCGAGATCGCCATTCTTGTGGCCGGTGCAGCTTCTGGAGTTCAAGGCGGCTTGAGGCAGTTCTGCTTCCTTGCAGCTTGGATCCTGTTTTTCGACTGCCTTTTGCTGTTCACTTTCTACACCACTATCCTCTGTATCAAGCTCGAAATCACTCGCATCAAACGCCATGTCGCACTTCGCAAAGCCCTTGAGGAGGATGGGATTACCCACCGTGTTGCAGAGAATGTGGCCGCGAACAACGATTGGCCCCAAGCGGGATCGGATAATGATGGAACAAGCGATGCCAGCCTTTTCGGAAAGAAGATCAAGTCCAGCAATGTCCGCCGCTTCAAGATCCTCATGGTCGGAGGCTTTATCCTGGTTAACGTTGTGAATCTCTCCGCGATTCCTTTCCGCAAGTCAACTGGTCTCCCCCTGTTGTCCCGCGTGTCCAATCTGCTCGCTCCCACTCCGATTGATCCTTTTAAGGTGGCCGAGAACGGACTGGACTCGATCTATGTTTCCGCGAAGAGCCAGATGATGGAGACGATCGTGACCGTTATTCCCCCGATCAAGTACAAACTCGAGTACCCCTCTGTGCACTACGCTGCCTTTGGAGAGGGTCAGTCCTTTGATATCGAGTATAGCGACCAGTTCTTGGATGCTGTTGGTGGCCGCGTAATTGAAAGCTTGCTCAAGAGTATTGAAGACCCGATCATCAGCAAATGGATCATTGCGGCTCTGACCCTGAGCATTGTCTTGAATGGTTATCTTTTCAACGCAGCCAGGTGGAGTATCAAAGAACCTGAGGCCGCCACTCCTAAGGAGGAACCTCCGAAGCCCAAGGTTTATCCCAAGATCGATCTGAACAACCAAGATGGCCCCAAGCGGACAGCTAGTGAATGCGAACTCTTCCTGAAGGAGAAGCGGGCCGCTTACTTGACAGACGAGGAATTGGTTGACCTGTCATTGCGAGGCAAGATTCCGGGATATGCTCTCGAAAAGACTATGGAAAATGAGGACCTAATGAGCCGTCTCGATGCATTCACGCGCGCTGTCAAGATTCGCAGATCTGTTGTGGCTCGGACTGCGGCCACTTCTGAGTTCACCAGCTCCCTTGAGACTTCCAAGCTTCCTTACAAGGATTACAACTACACTCTGGTCCACGGTGCCTGCTGCGAGAATGTCATTGGCTATCTGCCTCTGCCCCTTGGTGTTGCCGGTCCTCTCACGATTGATGGTCAAAGCTATTTCATCCCCATGGCTACTACTGAAGGTGTCTTGGTGGCTAGTACCAGCCGTGGTGCTAAAGCCATCAATGCCGGTGGTGGTGCGGTTACGGTCTTGACTGGCGACGGCATGACGCGTGGTCCTTGTGTCGGCTTCCCTACGCTTGCACGAGCTGCTGCTGCCAAGGTTTGGCTTGACTCGGAGGAGGGCCAAAGCATCATGATGGCTGCGTTCAACTCCACTAGCCGCTTCGCCAGGCTCCAACACATGAAGACCGCTCTTGCTGGTACCTACTTGTACATCCGCTTCAAGACCACCACTGGTGACGCTATGGGCATGAACATGATCTCCAAGGGTGTCGAAAAGGCGCTCAACGTGATGGCTACTGAGTGCGGCTTTGATGACATGGCCACAATTTCGGTTTCCGGTAACTTCTGTACTGATAAGAAATCTGCCGCAGTGAACTGGATCGACGGACGTGGCAAGTCAGTTGTGGCGGAAGCTATCATTCCTGGAGAGATCGTTCGCAACGTTCTTAAGAGTGATGTAAACGCCCTCGTTGAGCTGAACACCAGTAAGAACCTGATTGGTAGTGCCATGGCGGGAAGTTTGGGTGGCTTCAATGCACATGCATCCAATATTGTCACTGCTGTTTTCCTTGCCACTGGTCAAGATCCCGCCCAGAACGTGGAAAGCAGCAGCTGTATCACTACCATGAGAAAGTAAGTTATCCCTATCCATTGCAACGTTTATGACGGGGGAATGATATACTGATTGTGATTACTTCTAGCCTTAATGGCAATCTCCAGATCGCTGTGTCGATGCCGTCCATCGAAGTCGGAACCATCGGCGGTGGAACGATCCTGGAAGGGCAATCTGCCATGCTCGAATTCCTGGGGGTGCGCGGCTCTCACCCCACCAACCCTGGTGACAATGCCCGTCAGCTTGCACGGATTGTGGCTGCTGCGGTCCTTGCAGGTGAGCTGAGTTTGTGCTCCGCCCTTGCGGCGGGTCACCTTGTCCGGGCACACATGGCCCATAACCGTAGCGCTGCTCCTACGCGCTCAGCGACGCCTGTGTCTGCCGCCGTTGGCGCAGCTCGCGGCCTTGCTATGACCTCCTCGAAATGAACGGGGCGTTCAGTGCAGTTGCATTCGCCTCGCCCACCCGCTACGTGATGAGATTATGTACACCGATATTACTGCTACTAGCAGATTCCCTTTCCCGAACCTCTCTCTGCCCACTTCTTCCTGACCTCCAAGATACCTTTTCTGGCATATTTTTTTTGGCCCGTCGCTACTTGGGATGGCTTTGCCGTTTGTGTTAGCAGTGCGGCATCCTGTATTGTACATTTTATAGCATATACATATTTCAAGGTTTGACCTGTCATGTGGCCTGCGCATCTCATGCTGGACCGTGGGTGGAGCATGGAATCTTTGATGTGCTTGATATAGACCGACCAGACTACGGGTCGATTGGCGGCGGGAAATGGCAAAGACTGGGGGATTATTCAGCCGAGTTCTTCAAGAGCAGGAAGATTCGCTGTCTGAAAGATTCGGCCATGATGTTAATCGGATTATGTATGGAGTA